CTAGAAAGCAGGAGGCGTGACACAAGTCACGTGACCTCGCTGACGCAACACTATGTTAAACTTAAAGAAGGGCTTAGTTTACGATATTCACACATCTTAACATTAAAAGCTATCCGTATTTCTAATCAAATTACTAGAACTATGACACTTATTTATTAAAACCGTTAAGTAGAATTACAAAACTAAATAAATAGTTTGGATCTCAAACCAACACACTTACTTTAAAAAGATAATACACGAAACAATTTATAAAAGAACAACATAACACACAAATGAAGGATATTTCACAAAAATTAATTTATCATCAATTTCTATTTCCCAATAAATCACCAAGTTTTATTTCTCAATAAGTCTGTGACTCATCTCTTAATCTCAAAATAATCTGACTTTATCCCGCTACACATTTCCATTCATAGTTCTAGCAACTGTACACGTCAGCGAAGTCTGAAATCCTCGACTTGGCTTGTATAGATATCGATTGGGCAGGCTGCATTTATTATTACTGTATGTCTTTATTTAGTAATGTAATTTGTTTTACTATTAATAATTAACTAGAAGCCTGAAAAACAAACAGATAAAATTAGAATATTATAGCTATAAGTAACCTTAAACTCACTCGAAATTACTGACTTTTCTATATTTCTTAGTGTATTAAACTGTCAAGAGAGATGTATTGTGTACAGTTCCAGCTGTTTCATGGTGATTTTATTTGTTGGCTGCACAAAAACTGTGTAACAGAAAACATGCCAAAGTTCCTGAATTTTCTTTAACCTTAAATTCTAGGTCACACATATTTAAAAAATATAACTAAAACTATGGTATGTCTGACAAAATTTACTCAAAATATAACTTTATATTCTAGAATTCATCGTCATAAGACCTTCTTTGGACTTTACTGGAAATTTTGTATTAGAAATGGCGCCAGTCTTAATTTTCTTTCTCTTGTTTACAAGTTGTTTTATTTTTGCCTTGAAATGTCAGTATAGAATTTGCTGTAAATAAATACCTGAATTTTATACAAGAGTGACACATTTCTTCTCTTTAAAATCATCAACGTGGTTCGCGTGTTCGTGCAATTATGTGTTTAATATTTAAAAATCAAAGTTACATTTTGAAGGAAACGAAGCATTTCTTGGCAGATGTTTGTTCTCTAGCGTCACATTTCCTGTAGGCACACACGATGTAAATATTCCGTTCTTTCCCCTCTCACCTAACAGTACAGTCAACTTTTATTTCTGCCCTTCTAGATGAGTCATATCGCCCTCCTGGAGCCAGTGAGTCTGTCAATATCGCCCTTCTATTGGCGAGAGGGCGCTACCGTAGATAAAGAGATTGTGCAACACCAGGATAGAGAAGAAAGCGCGTTCCTTTATTTATAGCATAGTCAGAGTTCGAATTAAAATAATTTATTAGTCGTAATTATCTTATTTTATTTCTAATATAAATAGTTAATCGAAGCTAAGTAATTATTATCACTTTTATGTTTTAAGTGTGTCATTGTTTCCTAACAAGCATGTCAGAGTAAAAACATCAAGGTAGGTGACTAAAAACAATTCCTTTGTGAGACTGAGAGCTTGGCTTTGCTGAGATTTGTAACTATTTGTTAATAGAGAAAGCGTGACACCAGTATATGGCAAACTTGAGTTTCTTTCTCATGGCTCTCCCCACTCGACAGTAATATGTAATGTAAAACTTTATACACCCTGACTAGTAAAAATATTTCTGCTTCTTAATTTCCCCAGTCTTTTTTTAATGAAATAATAAAAAAATGTGCAATATCGTGATGTCTATTCTACTTCTTATTTTGACGTTCCATCCACTCTACATTTGGGGTTGTTTATGTAAATTTGTAGTTACATTATAAGATTTAGCAAAAACTTTGAAACTCGACATTGTAACTTCGTAGCAAATGGCTGACTATGTACCTGTTAGCAATTTGTTATTATATGTAGAAAAGTGAAAATATATGCATTTTAAGACATACTTAAAAATAAGACAAACCCATATGTATATATATATATATATATAATTATATTAAATATATCAAACACCTAGTGTTTTATGCCAAATTTTAAAACAAGTTTGTAAATTTGTCCAAAAACAGATATCCAGACCGAATGTAGGCAATATTATATATAATTACATTTTGTAAAAACTTACCGGGTAAGTACAAATAAATTTTGCATAAAACTTACAGAATCAATACAAATACATTTTGTAAACATTAACCGACTCAATATAAATACATTTTGTTGAAACTTACCGAGTCTCTTTAGGTTATAACTTATCAAGTCAATACCAATACATTTTATAAAAACCTTACCGAGTCATCTTCAGGTTTTAACTTATCAAGTCAACACCAATACATTTTATAAAAACCTTACCGAGTCACCTTTAGGTTTTAACTTATCAAGTCAACACCAATACATTTATAAAAACCTTACCGAGTCATCTTCAGGTTTTAACTTATCAAGTCAACACCAATACATTTATAAAAACCTTACCGAGTCATCTTC